CGAGTGCTGCTTCCCCGGGAGGTTCAGAGAAGCGGGGAGTCGAACGACTCGCGGACCGGCGCCGGGGCTGGGAGCGCGACGGGCGGGCGGACCGGTGGGGGGGTGCCCTGGGTGCGCCAGGCCGCGGCGACCCCGGGGAAAGTTCTCTCCGAGGCTCGAGGGGTGGCTCCCCCGGCGGGAGCAGTCCAGGTGCGGCTGGGCCGGGCCGTGGCGTCGGCAAAAAGCCGGGGAGTCGAGCGGCGGCCGAGCAGCCAGCAAGGGGGCGCCCCTTCTGGGCGGGGTCTCGGCTGGGGGCGGAGGGCGGAGCGGAGGTGGTCTAACGGCGAGTGCGGACAGGTCCGCGAGGGGAGCTGCGCCCGGCCCCGCAGGCCTGGCCTCCTGCGCCGGGTCCGTTTCCCGGGGAGCCCGGGAGGCTGGCCCGGGAGGGCAGGGCGCATTCCTGCTCGCACCCTAGCTCTCGGCGCTCCTAGTCCCACGCCCTCCTTGCGGCCCGCGGTGTCCAGGACTGGCGGGCACAATAGCTCTGAGGCTACAGTGACCCCTGGTGGGTCCTCCTGTCCGTGCACAGGCGCCCGGGCCGCGCGGGCTCCCGCAGCAGGTGCAGTTGTGCACTCGGCTGGGAGCCGGCAGCGGGTGAACGCCGTCCTCGTATTTCTAGGAGACGCGGGGAGGACGCGGAGCCGAGCTGAGGGTAGGCCTCCCAGGAAACTGTTCTACGCTTCATTTCGTATTAGAAAGAGCAAGGGCTTTGGCGTTAGGCATAGTTTTCAGTTCCAAGCTAGATAGCCAAAGCTCAAAAAATTTTGCTTAAAACCTAGGGTGTTAGTACCTTAAAAATAAAATAAAATAAAATTTTTAAAGCTGACAGCCGCTGCACAGTAGAACGGAAATGAACAATTTGCAACTTTGGAGGGAGTTTCCTTCCATAGTGATTTGCCGCAGAGAACCTTCTGTAGGAAACCTTTTTTCCCTGCTGTAAGAGCCCCATCTGAACCTGAAAAGCGCAACCCCCAAAGTGCGATGTAAAACCTTCCATGTTTGGTATAAACTCTACCTAAAGTTATAAATCAAATCTATTTTACCTTCCAGGCTTTCTGTGAAATGGAAGCAGGTTTTGAATTTCTAATCGAATTCCATGTTCAACTTTGGGTCATATTGTCCAAGTTTTGCCTGCCGTGAGCCGACACCTTATTATTATGGGTTTATCATCTTTATTTGTGGAGGCTTTTCTGTAATTTAATACTCCGGGCACAAATTACCAAATGGGATTGAAAGATTTCATAACAGATTTTCATTCATTATAATATTCAGTGGAGCCTCTTCAGCTTGCAAAAATAAAAGACACGGTCAAGTATAATAATCTGTTTTCCAGTTTCGAGTTTTGTTGCCACCTGTTTTATGTCCCTTGATTCTGGGTTTTTTGTTTTCCCTTTAATGGTAATGGAAAGGCTGGGGGTTTGGGGGTGAGGTAGCAATTCTGTTCCAGGCTCCTCACAATGAAAAGCACAAAGCCATGAAGTCCTGTACATATGACGGCCTTTTCTGAGTGAGACATTTTCTTCTCTATTTCTTTATCAGGGACTGGAGAAAAGAAAAAAAATCCATTTAACACAAAATTGGAGTTTTCTAGAGATAATGGGAAGCTTCCACAAGTTTAAAAAAACACGTTAATGAGCTATTGATATAGGATAAACTGCATATATTTAAAGTATACAATTTGATACATTTTGTATATACTCATTAAACCATCACCAAAATCAAGCTAGTAAACATCACCCATAAAGTTTTCTCCTGTACCTCCCACTCCTCACCACACCTCATCTCCTAACCACCGATCTGCTTTTTGTCACTATAGATTTTCTGTAGTTTCTAGAGTTTTATATAAATGGAATCGTGGTGTCAACTCTTTTTTTTTGGTGGGGGGTCTGATTCTTTTTTCTCAGCCTAACTGTTTTGAGATTTATCCACGTTGTGTATATCAATAATTTATCCATTTGTATTGCTCAGGAGTATTCATTTATATGTACTTACGACAATTGTTTATCCATTCATTTGTGTGGTTTCCAACTTTTCAGTATTACAAATAATATAAATATTACAAATCTTGCACTGAGGATTGTACTCTAAGCTCAGGCTGCCATACCAAAACACCATAGACTAGGCAGCTTAAACAACAGACACTTATTTTCTCACAATTTTGGATGCTGAAGTCCAAGATCAGGGTACCAGCATAGTCACTTTATGGTGAGACCCTCTTCCTGGCTTATAGGTGGCTGCCATCCGCTGTGAATGTTTCTTTGTTGGCACCTGTGGGGGAGAACACAAGTTCTGTGGTGTCTCTTCTTATAAGGACACTAAACCTTTTGCATCAAGGCCCCACCCTTTTCACTTCATTTAATTTTAATTACCTCCTTATAGGCCCCATCTCCAAGTACAGTCACATTGGGGGTTAGAGCTTCACATATAAATTTGGAGGGGACACAATTCAGTCCATAGCAAGGATCTATGTCTTTGTACAGACATGCGCTTTTCTTTTGAAATAAAAAAATAAAAAGAGTGGAATAATTGGGTCAGAAGATACACAAATGGAAAAAAGCACATGAAAAGATGCTCAACATCGTTAGTCATTAGGGAAATTCATGTTAAAATCACCATAAGAGACCACTACAGACTTAGTAGAATGGCCACCATACCAAGCTCCCACACCACTATACCAAGTGTTGTCGAGGATGGGGAAAAATCTGTATTCTCACACACTGCTGGTGGGAATATAAAATGGTACGATCCCTTTAGGTAACACTTTGGCAGTTTCTTGAAAAGTTGAACATATAAACATATACCTTCCACAGAATTTTGGAGGAAGACTTTCTCTGACTATCCAGAGAAACAAATTTAAAAGATACTATTCAAACACATCACACACACCCACACAGGAAAATCATATCGTTTTTCAACATGTGCTTAACATAATACAGTCTCTTGAAAGCCTGTGTCAAAGGCTTTGATCTGTTTTCAGAGATGTTTTAGAAAAATATTTTCTTTGGTCAAGTTGACATTTTGTCACAATAAGCCTATGTAGATAAGTCAAATGACAAACAAACTTAGAGTAGATGCCATTTTATGGAAATATGTAGACCATCTGTGAAGGGCTGTAGGAATTCTCATCCTGGAAGAAGCGATTGGACTTCACATAAAACAGGCCCCGTCCCTTGCTGAAACGTGCACTGCACAATGCCAGACACAGAATTCCATTTAAAGCACCGTATTCTTTTTAGGAAGATGTATATAAACAGTTCATGTCTTCTGTCATTTTTTATATTTTTGCATTTTCCAAACTTCAGAAAGTGAACTGTAATTTGAAACAGGAAAGGATACCTTGAAAACATTGACAGTAAATAAGTAAATAGTTTAATTACTTAAATATGGAGGGCAATGCAGAAGAATCACCTGGAAGACTTACGACACAGATTGCGGGCCCCACCCCAAGCCTGGAGTGGGGCCTGGGAATTTGCATTTCTAACAAGTTCCCAGGCGATGCTTATGCTGCTGTTTGGGAACCACACTTTGAGAGGCACCACTCTAGAGATTATCTTTCCAAAAAGTAATAAAGATTGTCGCTAATTACCTATGAATACTTTTTTAAAGGGGAAGGTGCACTTTTTTACTAGTAGCCTCCCTATTACTCCACCTCATCTATCATTACTTCCTTAATGCCTGTCAGGGAAGAGTATTGAAGACCCTGCCAAGTAGATTACATCAGAAAGAGTAGCTTTTAAAGGGAAATATTCCTGTTTTATTTTCATCATACTCCTGTCTAGTCTCTTCAGACACCTTACTCGATGTTCTGTCTAATATAATATGTGCCCGCGCACATCCACTTTTTAAGACCATCCTGCCTTCTGACTCACTTCATATATGTCATTAACCAGCTATCCTCTCTTCTAAGTACCGAGGCCTTAGATCCCATTTATTGAAATGCCTCAAGGGTGATACCCACATTTCAAGGGAAGTCATCTCCCAGATGGCAACCTAAGCTGCCTCTTCGTTCTTGTGATCTCCATGTAAATGTGTTTTGGAGTTTACTGAGAATTCTTACTTTGCACACTTTGTGATCCTTGTTGGTGAATGAATTGATATGGTTTGTATTTAGTATACATGGCTTAGAACTTCGAAATATCCTAGTATCCCTCCCCTTCTCTGGTCAAATGTAAACTAGCAAAAGTGGGTGCAGAGGAGCGAGTTGATAAGTCTAGTAATCCGTTGGGAGACATTTTTTGAGTTTTTTTAAACAGATTAACATCTTATGCCTATTTGATTGAGAAAAATTCCAAAGGTTAGCAAGAGCAGGTAAAATGTGTATGTTGATACATTGTCAGTGGAACTGTAGATTGGTTTGGGCTTTCTGGAATGCAGAGTCACACATACAATAATTTAAATATGCATACACTTTGACCCAGAAATTCAATAGCTAGGAATTTATCCTTATCAAATAATAGCCACAGATGCATGTAAAAATATATTTACTACAGTATGTTTATAATGTTAAAGCCTTTTAAACAACCCAAGTGCCCAATAAGAGGGTGTTGTTACATTAATTTTAGTGCATGCATCTAATAGAAGATTCAGCAGCTGTTAGAAAAGATGAGATGGATGTGTATGCACAGACATGGAAAGTTATCCAAGGTAAGCAGTGAAGTAAAGAAAAAAAAGCAGCTTACATAATCATCCAAATGAAAAGGTCCATTTTTATTTGTTTTTAAAAGGAAGTTTGGACTTTTTACAATAAGCATGAATGAATTAAAAATGAAAACAGATTTTCATATTAAGCAAAAGAATGCTATCAAATTTCTGGCTAATGGAATTGACCTTCATTTAAAAATGAATTCCTTTTCTAGAATCTAACCTGGATTCTAACATATTGACTATTTCATCTGCT